GCAGGGGCTTAATAGACATGATGCTGCAGTATTCGAATTAGAACCCGGAGCAGACTCTATTGATCAAGCCTGCTCCGACCTGTTCTATTTCGAATGCGAAGGAGCACGGTTATAGGCACCCACAGGTACTACATAGTGTCATTGATCAAGGCAACTAATGTACTAACTGAGCCTTGGAAAGTGGTGGCTGGACAAGGGATCTCAGCCTACAAATGTGAAAAGATCGGCTAAAGCTACATCCCTAAGATCCACTTAGGCATTCTCAAGAAAGTTACACATACAACAGTATTCAACTGCGTACAGCTGGGTCTTTTTCCCAGATAGGGACAAATATCCTATGGCACTGTGGTAAAGAGGGGTAGGGAGGAAAGAATGAATGAGAGGAAAGGTCTGGGTGGGAATGCCGTAGGGAATGAGAACATGGAGATGGAAAGACTGCAAAGGAAGAAGGTGTCAAGCTGCTCTTTCAACAGCAAAGTGGGGACTCTGGCAATAATTATTATTATTGCAATAGCGCCCAGTAGCCAGTCACAACACGGCTAGAAACCCAAACACCACTTTTACAATAAAATACTGAACTGTAAACTGGTCAATGTGATTCAACATGATTAGCAAAACATTGTCAGGACCAAAAAACTGCTGCCAAAGGAGAAGAAGATGGATCCAAGTAGTTCAGGAATGGTTTTTAACTAGAGAAGTAGAAGGACACTCTGGTGGGCTGTAGAGGAGGCACCCGTTGTGTCAAAGTTGTGTTTCAGGCTCATTCCTTACATTGTGAGGGAGCAGTGGCCAGACAATGCCAGCCATGTCACTCCTTTGCAAGCCAGCAGCTACAAAAACTAGTGTTCCTTAAATATGCTGACCCAATGGGTCATATGGCTCAAGAGAGCCTTTTATCTTGCAGTGACCTGTCGAACAATGCGACAACAGTTGACCACAGCTATAGATTATTACTATGTACTCTCCATTTTGCAGATGGGAAGTGAAGACAGAGGGTCAGATTCTCACCACGCTGGCAGTTTAAATAGGCAATAAAATTCCACTGCCAGATTTAAGTAAAGAAGCCTTCATGTAAATTTCCAACTATCAAAGCATCTTCAACATGGAGGCCCATACTTACCTTGAGATCATGTTGCCTTATGGAGGATGTTAGAACGAGCCTACAACTATGCAGACTCACTGGCCTGTCCTTACAACAAGGAGGCAAAGTAAACACACAGAAGAGGCTGACATAGCCCAGGGTCTGTAGGGGTTGTAAAACCCATCAATCCCCGGGAAGTACTTTTGCACCAAACTCCTGTATTCTGGTACTAGGAGGAAAAGACAGGATTTGCCTATTCCAAATCAAAGGCATGAAAAAGCCTTATTTCATCAGGGAATCCATATTATTTGTGGAAGGGAAGTCAAGTAACAAAACATGTTGCTAGCCTAGAGACAAACCAAGAAAAGAAGCAGTAACATTTTTTCAGCTCAATGATGTATTAATTCAAAGTCACTGAAATTATTTTACAGATCGTGTCCATATTACAAAGAAATCCTGGTGACTGGCGCTGACAGCAGCGCAGTTGTGATGGACTTCCCTTGCAGTGCAGCTGTGCATAGTGGCAGCTTGGCTGGCCCATAGGCAGCCCCTTTGCTACAGATCCCATAAAGTGCTTTAAAACATGGCGATCTCTGCATATTGTATGATAATGATCATATCAGAGAAGCAGAACATTCCTGCAATTCCTACACTGTAAGAATTATGAAGATCCTTCACACACTTATTTTTTCAACTCACACCCTTATTTTAAGGGCTTGATCCAATGGAAAAAGATGCTGCTCTTCAGAAGGGTTTTGGATCAGGGCCCATGGACAGCTGTTAACACATAACCATGTTTTTTTGCAGTAAAGATACTGTAACATTGAAGCCTTTATGATTTTGCATAGCCCACTCAAGGCGAAGAACAAATGGGATGGAAGAGCCCAGAAACAACATAATAGTCACACAGGCCTGCATTGTGTTGAAAGCAAATAACACTACATTAAGCAGCCAATAAAAATATTGCTCATGACAATGATGATGGACAAAATAATTCATAAGAAGATGTGTTGATAGGGAAAAAATGTTTCAACTTTCATGAAATCCCAGGCATGATACTTGCTATGTAAGAATAATACATACGGGATGTGTCTACACGTTCATTAATGCATTTTTGGTAATGCACATTAAATTTAGTACCTCCATTATGAGGGACTAGAAAAGGGTGCATTAGCCCATTTTAATGTGCATTAGCAAAAATGCATGGTATTTTTTGTGATCCTTTAATGCACATTAAAATAGGCTAATGCACATTAAAGTGCACGTGTAGATGTGCCCATATGTAAAAGAACAGGCTCTTCACATGAGCCTAAAATAGAGTTTAGCTACCTGCAAGATTCCAGGCTTCTTGGACAACACAAAGATTGGTCCTGAACATTTCTGGTCCATTAAAATACTATGGCACCTTTTCGTAAGGGTAGGAGTGTTAGCCTTGGTTAAATTCCAACTCAGGTAATTATAATCACTTTGCTACATGTGATTATTGCAATGCACGCTATAGAAGGCTACATCATATATCTATGCAGAAACGGAAGCTGGTGCAGACTTTGGCATGCCCTCCAGTGATGGGGGACGTAACCTCTGCAATGACATTTTGCATGTCATTTTGCAATGCACTGTGCGCTCCTTCATGAGGAAAGATACTCTATGAGCCAAAGCTGCTGCTCTTAGTAAATCTGAGCTGTCATAATGAGAAACTCCAGCAATAGAAGTCTTTCCACTCTCTCTCTCTCCTGTACAGAGAGGAGGTAGGAAAAGGGAAAGAATCTCTACAAATGTATCTCGCTGAGACAAGCCAACAATGACTTTTCTCAGGGGCACAGTGAGGACAGCATAAACTTGCAATGATGGTACTAAATGTGCCTGGGAAGCTCACTCTAAAATAAGTCATGGCAAGGTGTCATGCTTGTTTTCCATCACAAGTCAGATGAGACCTGAACGTTTAAACAGTGTTCATTTTGAGGCTTTACGGACCTGATTCAAGACCCACAGCAATGAAATGGAGCTTTACAGTGACTTCAGTGGGCTTTGTAAATTTACAAAGCCTGGGGGGCGAGTCAGAAAGCAGTTGGCTCAGGCGTCAGGCAGAGTACCCTGGAGGAGTTAAGACAACACCTTGCATAGTGCAAGTTGAACCTCACACCATGTTTGGCTTAATCCATTAAATACACACAAACAGAAAACACAGCAGTGGCAGGTGCATACATGTACATTTAAATGTATGTAGCTGACAATTTTTTTTGTCTCAGGGCTGTTATCACCAATTCTGTGACTTGCTATAAAAATTCTCAATCCCAGAGTACTTACTGTACCACAACTGGTTTATGAGTGGCTTGTTTTGCCGCTTTGGGAGGGAAGCTGGGAACCAGACCTCTTATTTTAAAGGCATGTTTTTGCCTTTAAATTTACATCACCAAAAGTGAGGGAGTAGAGAGTGAAAGCTGCTGTGAGGTCTGCCTTCCCGCAAATGTTCTGGTAATACAGCATGAGACTGGAAAGAAGATCAGGCTCTCATACTAAATTTGAAAAAAAAAAAAATCCCCAAACAAAACAGGTTTCCAACATTTGTCTGCAATAATGTTTTTAATGGACAGGGGGACAAAAATGGCACTTTCTACTGTTTCACTAGAGAGTCCTAAGCTGGTATTTCACAGTAAGTACTGGTACCTAAATACAATTAAGGATGTGCTAGACCTCAGCCTTGTACAGCACAATACCGTCTAATACAGGGGTGGGCAAAATGAGGCCACGGGCCGGATGCAGCCCTCCAGGCCATTCTAGCTGGCCTACGGGGCCCCTAAAAAAATTTAGAAAATTAATATTTATCTGCCCCCGGCTGTCTGTCATGCGGCCCTCAATGGCTTGCCAAAACTCAGTAAGCAGCCCTCCGCCCAAAATAATTGCCTGCCCCTGGATGTTTTCCAGCTACCATCAATACTTGCTGGTTACTTCATTCCTTCCCACCCCCATGAACTCTATTGCTGAATATCTTTTTAAACCAAAAGTTCGGATGGTATTGTTTTCCTACGTGTGCATGTGTATGCATGCACAAAACACACACACACACACACACACACACAATATGAAACCCCAAAATACCATGTCAAGGTGATTGCTCTTACCAGGGAAAAACAAGCACTCACAAAGACATACCTGCCTAACAAGATTCAAAACATGTCAAAACTGAAAAGTTTAGCATCCATCCGGCCCCAGATTGCAGTGCAAACAGTCCAGGCATGTTAACAAGTTTGCAGTCCACCTCTACAATGCTCATTCACAAGCTGCCCCTAGTTCACAAGACTGATTCTTTAGAAGGTGGCTCCACCGTGCTGGCTGGGTTGGAGGCTTGGTTCATGTGTGTTACCAGAGGTGATGTTTCCCCTTCAGATTTGCAGTTTGGAATCGCTTCTACATTGACTTCTTTTAGGTCCTGCTCTTTGTTCTTCATTTCTTTTTGATTCAGATAATGAAGAATGCCCGCTCCCAGGGCATCTCCTTCAACGTTCACAACAGTGGTGGTTCGGTCCCTGGGCAATAGTAAAAGCATACAGGCAGCCTTTTAACTTGAGGCACAATTCAGTGTATAGGGCCAAATTCATCCCTGCTATAACTCCACTGAAGTCAATGGAGATAGTGAATGGATATGCTTGGCTCATGCTGCATATGCAATGGCATTAGATGCTCTCATTATGCATTACCAGAGTTTAAGCAGTGTTCAGAAAGGGACAGTGTAAGTGTTTCATGGGTAAGCCCACCTTGGTTTCTATACTTCCTGCCAGTGTAGTGCTCTTCCCCCAGGCAGGGGAGGAAGCACAAGTGGTCTCCTCTAAAGCAGGTGTCCTGGCCTATCTCATGGAAAAGCAAGTGCCAATTGTGTTTCCTGATCCTCAAGATCAAGCACCTTTACTGTACCAATCAATACCGCAACTGCCCCTCTCCCTGTCTCCAGTAGCACAGGAATTGAGAGCCCTGAATCCAATCCTCAACCCTGATCTCTGTGTTGGAAACTCCCAATTCCACTGCTGTTCTGCCATCAAAACTGCAAACAGCACCAAGTTGCCAAGTGTGCCTATGGATGAGGCAGGCCTTACAGCTTGCCTGTCATTAGGGATAACAAACTCAACCATGCACACACAGATGTGGCTACTCTCTTACAGAGCATAAATGGGATTTGTTTGTTCATGGTCTTCTCTGCCACTCAGCTCATTTTCATTGGTGTCTATGTGTGCCCAGTTTTTCATAAGCTTTTTTCTCTGTTTTTGCTGCATTCGCTGTCTCCCCTCTGTACAATGAAACCTAGTAATAGTCTTGCCTGAATTTGCAGACCCTGATGTTCAGTTAAGCATAAAACCAGGCAGAAAATGCTTGCCCGACACTAGAGCTTCTGTCTTAGCTTGGCCCCATGTCATATCCCACTGCCCTTTGGCCATACCACACAAAATAACGTAACATGGATACAATTTAATGGAAGAAGGTTTAAAGGCCATTTGGTTATTTGAAATGGTAGAGATGATTAAACTGATGGGTGGCTGGTAAGAAAAGGTACATTCTCTTCATCTACACACAGTCATTTTCTGGTCTAATTTTATCATGTGCTTAACTTGTGACTTTGTACTGTTTGGTTACTTAATGTTTTATGTGCAGACATGTCACAGGACTATTTTCCTTCCTATAATTACAACCAGGCAGGATGCTACAACGAGGTTGACATCCATGACTAGAACACAGCACTGATCACAATGTGTGAAAGGGAAGGTGGCTTGCATTAACTAACTGGAGCTCAGAGCCATGTGGCCCTGTACCCCATGACCCTTGGGGCTCCCAGTGGTACCTGGGAAAGCACAACCAATGTCACACTCCTAAAGAAGCAAGGACAGCTGTTCCCAATGTGAAGCAGCAAAGAATTGCTCCGATTTCTCCTCCCTGCATATTTTGAAATGGCTGCTGCCCCAGGGGGGCAATAGCAGGGAGCAGACCATGGGCTCCAGGCAACACGAGGCTCTACATAAGGGTCAAATATGCTTGAGGCAGAAGGCCTGTTGCTCTTTTCCCTCACCTTGTGCACTCAGTGGTAATCCAGCTAATGGACTGGGTCCAACAGCCTTCTCCAGTCAGTGGTCTTGAATGCAGATCATGTCAGGGCATGCAAACTGCTTATCTCACTAGCTGTTTAGATGTCAGGGTCTAAGTACTTTAAAACTGGGCTTTTGGGCATATTAAGATTGGCTATTCAACTTTCTGGTCTCCAAGGATTAACAAGTAAACAAGCTGACTGCAAGTAAAGCTTTACTACAGCTGTACACGTGCTCTAGTTATAAACCTGCTGAGAAGAATGGGAAGGGTTAGAGGCTTATACGAGTGCTGGAGAGGACAGGCTGGGAGTCCCAGGTCCACAGAGCTTACTCTATGAAAAACCATGAAAAACAGCTGGAAATGCTGCGTATACCTCTCGGGTGTTTGTATCCATTCCCACGTCACTCAACTGAGCTATGAAGCATCTTTTAACCTTTCCAGGAGAAGGAGGAGTTATTTTGTAGTGAGATACAAAGTCAAATTGAGGAGCACTGACAAGGCTGAATTTCAGGATACACTGTCAGGCTGTGGGAAAGATAATCTCTCCAAGAGAGCTGTCTGAACCATGCATCTCCCCAATTCTCAGCATCTGGTTTTTTTCCTTCTAATTAATTTCCATCTAATTTCTAGCCACGCTCTCTTGTCCAACTCTTAACAATAATGCCTGCTAAGGGTACTAAAGTCAAAGGTATAGTATAATCTGAATATGGACTTGACGATCTGCCCTACAGCTCTTATTTAACTGAGAAGGGATTTCCCTTTATATCATTCTTTGACATTTCTGGTGAGGTGTAAGTGGGTGATTTGGGCTTTTATTTTTTTGGACTACTGCTGTAATTTGCCTGCATAGGCAACAGCAGGTAAGCAATGTATGAAGTACTTACACAATCCAGTCCACTGCTAATATCAAAGACAGATCATTCGTAGGAAGTCCAATGGCCTCCAGGATGATGGCAATGGTCAGAACTCCACCCGATGGGACTCCAGCTGCTCCGACACTGGATGCAGTGGCAGTGACGCTGAAAGTGCATTCAAACAGGTTGGCATGATTTTTGGTTAGCATGCTCACCCACAGGCCACAGCATATATTTGCCTAAAGCACGGATTTTAACCAAAGCAAACACGCCATTTTTTTGTCTGTATCTGGCTATGCATTCTGTTGATGCACAAAAATGGAGATGAATAAGAATGGGTCCCGAGTGCTGTTATTCTTACGCCTCCAAGTAGTTCATAAAGTATGGGCTCTGCTCCTTCTGCTGTCACTATACATTCAGGAAATATCAAGGCTGGGACCCAGATGTCAACATAGGTATGGAAAGGAAAATAAGGAGTTTGGACTAGTGATAAAGAAACAAACTATGGGATTTGGCAGCATCCAACATGGGAAGTAAAGGCAAATGAGGGGTTAATGAGGACAGTAAGAATAGGGAAATGAGAAAAGCCATGGAGAGGGCTGGTTTAGAGCAACCAGAGAGACTCCAGAGCGGCCCACACCAACTTACTGGGTTAAGTGAGCTCATACCTACAGAACAGCAGTGCAAGTCATCCACCGCCTGATTGGGAGGAAGGAGAGGCCTTTGCCTTAGCCTCTGCTCAGGTCCCCAGCACATGTAATGTCAGTTTGGCCATGCAATTACCGAAGTCTGGTAATAAGCAGAGAAGGAGGGAGCATGGGAGGGAAGAAAGGGGAGGAGAGGTTTTGTGATCCCTAGCAACTATGTAAGATTCCAAATTTCTAAGTGTCCAAATTGATAAAGTAAATGTTAAAACAAGGTCTATGTAGCCTGACACACTCCTGCTATGTCATTATACAGTATAGCCAGAGGGCTAGAATCTGAACTGCTAGTTACTAAAAATGATTACAGTAAAAAGCAGGAAGACTACAGGTTTAATGTCGTGTTTGGGAGCCAAGGCAATGTGGTCTTAATAGTCAACAACTTACAGAATAGTGAAGATCTGTCCAGCATTGAGGTCAACGTTATTCAGCTGAGCAATAAACACAGCTGCCACACACTGGAATATAGCAGCTCCATCCATGTTCACAGTAGCCCCGATAGGAAGGATAAATCTACTGATCCTCTTGTCCACGCCGTTGTTTTCTTCAGTACACTTGATCATTGATGGGAGAGTAGCTGAGCTGGAAAGATAAGAGAAAAAATAAAATCATGCATCAATCAGGTCCTCTGTGACCCAATGTACGTATCCAATTATTGCTATTTTTTCCAGTCCCATATCAAGATTTTCAAAATTGACTCGTAGCTTTGAGACTGACTTGAGGCATCTGAAAAGGGCTTCAGTTTTAGTATCCAGAATTGTTAGTTGATTTTGAAAATCTTAGCCTTAAATTGTGTCATTTAATTGCCAAAGGGAAAAGACTTAGGGGCTGGCTCTGGTCAGCCTCAGGATTAACTGGTTAGTCTTTCCAATGATATAAAATTCAAACATTTTTTGTTTACCGCTGCTGGTAGAGAAGGAATAATACATCTGAACTAAATCAGCTTTGAGGCCCAGTTAAAAGATCTGCAATGACATAAGTCTTCCTGACATCACCACAGAGGTTTGGTTGGCCCAGACACTGAACTCATCTTGCGAACATTTTAGAACACAAGAGGGACTTGCACCCTTTTACAAAGGCACTATTGGAAAATTACATATCTTGGTTTTGGTTTATACTGAATAATTTTAATATCAGTCTAAGCTTACAATTTTAGGCAACTGCTGATTCTCATGCTATAACAGCCACATTATGGTAGACCAGTTGCACTGGTAGGGCATAGGACCGGAGGCTAGAGTTCAAGGCCCATTCCTGGCTTTGGCTGATCTGATGTCCAACTACAGGCAACCTATTTCCCCATCTCTGTGTCTACCTGTCTCTTCCTTATGCACACCTTTTGACTGACTTAAATATAATGCTGCACAAAGGAAGTTTGGTGCCCAGGACAAGCCCTCTTGCCCAGGAGTGCATGCAGCAGCAGAAGCTGCCCCCCGATTCCTGCGCCCCCCCAGATAAGCTGCTTGCAGCTTTGTCCCACAACCCACCCGGCTGGGCAGTGCCTATTGATGCCCCTTCGATTCAGCACCTGGGGGGGTCACCCCACTCACCCCTCCTTTGCTATGGTACTGCTTGTATATTTAGATTAGAAGCTTTTAAAGTAAGAACTTTGTCTAGTGCGTGACAAAATGTAGTTTCAATCCTGTTTAGGTGTTACTGTACTTTGAAAATAAATACAAACGTGCATGAAGTAAATAGAACAGTGATGCATTTATCTGAATTAACATGTCTCGAGTTTTATAAAAGCAGAAAATATGTATATTTTATATGATTATTCAATCCAAAACTCACGCTTTCCTGCCTCAAAGTGCTGTAGCAGCAGCCTCAACAAATTACTTATATTTCCTTGCAAGCCCTTTAATGTTTAATTTTTAATTGAATCCAAACAACATCATCATTCAATACATCTTCTGCTCTTAATCACAACAAACCTGCATTAACACAGCACTAGCTGTCATGGGTCCTGATCTGAAGTTCCTGCAGTAGTTTTCACAGTGGAAAGAAAGGTATGGATGACAGACTTGCTAGTCAAACAGTTGTGGATCATTGGGAATAAAATATTATGGGGCTAGACCCACAACTCATAAAGCCACTAGTATAAACTGGCCTAGGCCACTGAAGGCAACAGAACTGCATCAATTGACACCAGCTGAGAATCCAGTTCCCTGCTGAGAGATGGACCTTAAGTAGAACACTAAAACAGCCCTGAACCAGGGTTTCCTCATCTTCACAGAGCTTACACACCTGTATTAACCCCTCTTACAACTGAAGGGCACATGGAGAGGATTTCTTTTGTTGTTCTGTCACCCCAAGTGTTTCCTAGTCAGCACTATGCTGTCTCAATAGCCTTCTCAGGGTTTTATTTCTGGGGACCTACCAAATACACAATTTAATGGAAATCATGTAATTGGCAGTCTCTCATGATCACGAAATAGCTGGTTCCCCATGAAAAAGCGCGGGGAATCAGCTATTTTTAAAAAGCCGGCAAAGAGCTTTCTCCTAGAAGGGCTAGGGGATAGCGAAGGAAGCAGACAAAATAAAGCTAAGTGCCCCTCTCCTGAAGAGGGGGGTGGCAGCAGTGAGGGGAGGGAGAGGCATGAAAAATTCGTGTCTCTGGTCTCCAGAAGGGGAGTGGTGGGGGAGCAGGGAAAAGTATTGCTTTATTTTAGCCAGGTAGCTAGCTAGGTTTACACTTCATTTGGGTAGAGAACTGTTTAATTGCTGCTATTAAACTGTTTGTTTACTCAGTAATTATCACCCTCCCCCCCCCCAACTTGAAGAGGGTGATAATTAATGAATTAAACAAGCCAGGCAGCTCTAATTAGGGCTAGGGCTTTCAGTCAATGCCTGGGAGGAGTGGGACTTGCGGTGCCCCTCAGCCAATCAGAGGCGTGGGGGGGCCCCCTGCTTTGTTCCCTCTTCAAAATGGCAGCCCCGGCCATCATACGGCCATGAAATCGGGGGCCGGGGGCATGTTACAGCTGTGTAATTGGCTGCCAGGACCCATGAGTTTGGTAGGTCCCTACTTATTTCCAGTAGCCAAATTTAACTATTTCCAGCCAAAGTACAGCTTGTTAGCAAAACAAGGTTGCCATCTTCTTCAGCTATGATCAATAAAGTACTTTTTTTTACATGGGAAAACAAACAAACAGCTCCTTAGTCTTGCATCCATTTGCTGAAGCATGTGCACCCCTGGAACCTAAGGTCCATACAAGTCATAAGGAAGGGGTGGTGCATCAAAGCCTTTTGTTGAGGTACGTGGAATATATTGCTGCTGACAAAAAGCTCCAGAAAAAACTACACCTGGACATAAAATTACTCCACGTGGGCTGCCTATACACATGCTCTGGCATGGGAGAAGGCTGTTTTAATGAAAGTGGTTCCTGGACAGCCACTCTAATTAAATTAAAGCAGCTCATTGTCACATACATTAAGCTCCATGCACATTTCAAAATGGCTGCGGGATGCTTTATCTAAAGCTAGGGTTACCATGTGTCTAGGTTTTCCAGAACATGTCCTTTTTGTATCCTCCAATCTCCGTCCAGGCGTTTTTTTTTTTTTTGAGATCTGAACAAATGTCCAGGATTTTGCTCTGCTCCACTGGTGGGAGCAGGGGGAGGGCAACTGGAGCAGGGGGCACCACATGTGTCTGCACACGCACATACACGTGCCCAGCATGCAGCTTGGCACGGTGGTGGAAGCAGCCTTGGCAGCTGGGTGTAGGGATTGCAGGGCCAGGGCTTGGAGACTGTCAGGAGAAGGAGAGTTGGAGGGCCAGGGTGTGTGAGGACAGCAGGTGCCTGCCAACGCTGGGGGATGCTGTCCAGGTGTTAGGGCTGTGGAAGAGCACAGGGCCAGGGGGGGAAGTGCCTGCCCCTCCAGTGGGGGAACAGGGCAGGAAGGAGGGGCAGGCACTTTGGGGGCAGTAGGGAACTGCATGGCTGGGCTAGTGGCATCAGTGGCTGGTGCCCATGGTCGCAGGGGCAGGCACCTGGGAAATGCTGCCATGGGGGGGGGGTTGTGGCCAGGCTGTCTGGCACAGTGCAGGAGCCCCAGTGCAGGACAGGGTTTCCACAGGCCACCACTCCTCCTCCCTCCAGTCCGTGCTGGGGCCGGACTCACTCCGCCACCACTCACACAAGTCAGAGTCGCTGCAGCCACTGCGTTCCGGCCCAGTCGGGATGGGGCAGCTGGAGGCCCCCTCTGGTAGGGCTGGGGGGAGCAGGGGGGCTTCAGCTTGGGAGTGAAGGACAGGGTGGGGCCCAACAGGTGTCCTCTTTTTTGGAACTGGAAATATGGTAGCCCTACTAAAGCTCATTCAGCAAGGTTTAGATAAAGCGACTCCATAGCCATTTTGAAACACATAGGGCTTAATACACATGAGGGTAACGCGATGCTAGAGCGTTCTAATTAGAACACTGAGCAGACTTGATGAATCGAATCTTCTCCGACACGTTCTCGTTAGAATGCGAATGAGCACATCTGTAGGCACCCACGGTGTCCAACTGACTTTGTAGGGGAGGAACTGTATGCCCAGGCACTATCCTATGCAAACCCAAAGACAATATGTAGGTCTAAATAAAATTAAAATATGAAATATTAAAATATAGAATATAACTAGTTTGCAGTGGCTGTGTACGAGAAAGAAGCGCAATAGCTCACCTGGAGCAAGTGGCAAAGGCTGTTGCAAATGGCATTATAAGTCCCAAGAGAAAGCTGTAAGGATTTTTGCGTGTGAATGCAAAATAAATAAGTGGCAAAATGATTCCTCCATGGATAACGTGACCCAGAATCGAGGCAAAAATGTACTTTCCCAAGCTGGTCACCAGAAGTGTTATATCTTCCATTTCCACAATCTTGCTCCCGACAAGGAACATGATGCCAATAGGCACATACCTGTGTAAAGACAAAGCAGGAAGAAACATGAGAGACAAGCCTCAAAAGGACACACAACATTTCTGTTTAGGGACCAATTCTTCCTGTTCACAAGCATCTCCCAGCGACCCAACTTTGCCCTGTTGCTGAAATACCACCACTGCAGAGCCAATGAATACCCAGGGTCCTGTGCCCTACATGCTCCTGTGAAAGTACTAGGGTGGGTACCTCTTGGTTGCTAGAAGGGATGTTGTCAAGCTGGATAAGCTGTTTTTGGCCTGCAGATGGAAAAAAAGACATTCAGGGAGGCCTGTGCCTTGGAGAAAGGCAGCCAGGCTGGGTGTGGACTGGCAAAAGCTGTCAGGGAGACAGCATGCTGATAGGGGAGAGTGTAAAAAGAGACTGTAATGTAGAGATTTATTCCCTCAGGAAGGATGCCAGGCAAATGCCTAATTCTAAGAAGGGGCATGGTCATTCCAGGGAAGGCTGGAGCTGGGAAGGTACCAGGGAGCAGTGCCATGTCTAGAGCTGGGGAGGGTGACAGAGGAGGAGGGTGATGAAGGAAAGCTGCCAACAAGCTGAGACTGACGGCAGCAGCTTGATGAAGTCCGTGGAACAAAGTGAGAGACACGTGCATGCCAGCCCATTCACCATGGGACAGAAAGAGCTGTGTCAGCCACAATGGCAGGGAATTCAGTCAGAGGCTGTTAATGAGTGCTTGGGTGCACACAGAAGGCATTTAGCTCAGCAATTTGTCTACAGACCTCAAGCTTCTTGATTTGCACTCAAGCCAAACGGCTGCCCCCGCCTCTTCTCTCTGTAGACACCCAAATTCTTCGGTAGCCAGGAATGTGTGTGGGGCCTCCTTTGTCGCAAAAAAAAGGGAGAAGCTCTGCAGGTAGGTCTAAACCTCATCTTCAGCTGCAGCCATCGACCTGAGTTTAGCTCTTGTAGAGTTGATCCTGCCCCCAACACATACAGTGCAGCAAGACAGCACTCACAGGGACCTTCCACTGGGAAGGAAGGAGGAAGAGGATCTCCTTGTGTGCTTAGCAGATACTGAGCAAAGGAACTAAAGGATGTTTTAATCTCCCTGATCACCTCTGGGCATAACTAGACTTGAGGAGGCTTGGCCAAGCCTGCGACAGCCTGAAATCATGAAGTGTTTAGGAACTTTTAGGATCTTCACAAAAAAGTGAAGATCCTAAAAGTTCTTCACTTGTCATCATTCTCCACGTGCATCCTACTTCACTCAGAGCATCAGCTCCTCTCCTTGTGGGGCTGCTCAGTTTGAGCATGAATCTGAGCCTCACTCCAGACTTGTGCTGGAGGTTGCCTCAGCTGTCCACAAGTCTCCAGTCATTCAGGCTGAAGAATCAAAAGTGGTAAAATCAGATGGTGGCCACATAACTCTCTTGTGTGCCACTAGCTACAGACACTGGTGGGCCCAAGCCATGGAGCCTGACAGGCTGTTAGGCTTGGGATGGCCCTTTGATTGGCTGCCTATAACCCATAGGAAAAGGGCTTGGTTCTTGGATGAGGATGAAGAGGCAAGCAGGTTCTTATGGTGTAAGCATGATTTTGCCATTCCCTAACCACCACTTGGAAAGCCAGAAAAGTTTGAGTGGTTCTGAGGACATGAGAGAACACAGCATTAGAGAAGGGAAGAGGAGGAAAGAGAATTACTATACACTGTTGTGCCAGGCGCCAAGGCATTCCAGTAATCCACAAAGCGAAGGATTACACACTGACTGATTAACTTGGAGTGTTAGCTTTGTAATGAGTGGGGTATGAGAAGCCCTACCTATCAGAGTTTGATATCCCAGGAATTACACACAAGAGTGAAAGCCTTAAGCAGCTTTGAGACTTTTAAATGTAAATCCCTTCTGACAGTAACTAATGTAAAGGTCTGTATGTACAAGGTCACATGTCTTGTCAAATCCTTTCTACTCCTTGAGGAAAAAGAACAAGTGTAAAATCTGCAGGCTTGAAAGAAAAATGCACCTGTGAAGAGGCATATACATATACACAAACATATCTATATCTATATCTAGAGAGAGACTTAAAAAGGGGTGAGGGGGAGTCTCACTTGAAAGACTTCTTGGAGCAACTCTGGGAGAAGCTGCTGCTGCTCAGCTGGACCAAGAATAAGACCCACACTCAGTTTTGTGTTCCCTGTTTGCCCTGCTTGAACCCCCAGTTCCGACTTCTCCACAGCACTTCTGACACTTGGAATAGGATGCTGTGGGCTAAGCGCTGCTTGATTTAAAGAAGAATATGACATGGCTTAATGTCTTGTGATTCTTCCACAAACATTGAGTCCTAATCAGCCCCAGTAATGATTGGTAGGCCTGGCACTGGGTCTCCAATGCTGATTCCATTAGCCCTGGTATAAAACATGCTATTCTACCAACATAGGGATCTCAGAATCTGGTTTTCACTCTGCAAAACTTTTCAGACACGGAAATCCATTACCATTTGTTTGCTGTGCACTATCACAACCGATCTATCCATTCTTTGATAAACAGTGGGCGCATCTACATGAGATGCTTACTGTGCAGTAGCCTAATAACACTGTGCAGTAGCGTGTCGGTCAAAAACATGCTAATATGTGCGATATTATTAAGTTACTGCACAGTAAGCGTCACAAAAAACAAAACAAAACAAAAAACGTGTGCTGGTGCTATTGCACAGTAACTGTAGTTACTGTGCATTTCGTTAGTATTTCATTGAGCAATGAACATGTAGACATGCACTTTCCTTCAGAGTCTTTAAAACTGCAGTGTTCAAAATTGCAACTTCTACATGGTAATAATTATTGTATAGCAATTGTAAAAAAATCAACTAGATCCTTAGAAACTCTTAGAGTTGAGCTGATCTTTTGTAAAATGTCAGGCCAAATCTGTGTTGGCCATGTCCCATTAATCTTGTAGTGTAACCATACAAATTCTTTTGGGTGGTGTTCCCCTCATTAAATTGGTTAAACTTATATCATTAAGCCACACTATCTCCAACTATCTAAACTGGAAAGCTGTTCTTTGCTTTTAATTTTTTTCCCTTTTCCTCCATTTATATTTCCTCTTTCCTCTTCTGCTCTCACATTCCTTCCTTTCACCTACACTGAACTTCTACAGGATATACGCTCAGGGGAAATTGTACCCCAGATTGTGAAACTCTGAAGAAAGCCATTATCAGAGGTTCACACTTAGAAAACAAATACACAGCAGGGAAGGGAGAAGGAATATGGAAGGGGGTTCTGGGAAAATTATGTACCTCAATAAGCAGCTGATCTCTATTTTGAAAATTCTGGCTCCCACAATTCTTTCCTACTCAGGAAAAAGATCTTCCCTACATGACTGGAGATCCAGGGTGAAACATGTCTAAGGTAAAACCCTGGTTTCCACTAAAGTTAATGGCAAAGCTCCCACTGACTTCACTAGGGTTGTGATCTCACCCACTGCCACTCAAAAAGGAATTGCTACCATCTCCTGTTACACAAAGGGACTGAAGTTTTCAGCCCTGCTTCTTGTCCCAACTAATGTTGTGTGTTCTGTAACAGCACACTACTCCAGCTGGCCAGGATGTTCTCTAGAACTCAAGTTATAATGAGTTATATTTAAACATGGTCTGTTTTTCATGAGCCCTATTGCCTTTCTTAGGGCCTAATTTTTAAATAAGCAGAAGAAAATGAGATGAATGGAGAAGTGCCATCACAACTGTGCAGCTAATCTGCATGTGCTGATATTTTTTTGTGATTTCTTAGTTGCTCTAATAAAAGGTATCGTGTCTCTGAACCACAAGTTTTAGAGTTTTGCATTTCAATATTGCAACCGTGCACACAAATCAGGTTTTAACACACCAGTCTCCTAATTTGGTTAAGCAGTCATAGTAATTCCACGTAAAAAAAAATCAGGCATGCAATTGTGTACAACCAAGGGCTTCTGATGCTTTGAGAAATCAAGACTTATTTTCTCTAAGTATCGAAATCGAGCCCTGTCGGTGATTTTTGAGAGGATATTCAGATATTTTCAAGCAGCTGTTATCCTGCATTGGAGTGACCTTCTGGTTACTGCCCATGTGCACAGAAGATCCATCACACAAGCATCATAGAACTCCTTATTTGTGATGGTGATGTTGCATCTAAAAACACAGCTAGAAAATGGACATTCCTAAACCAGGTCACATTGTAGCAGTAATGTATTCACAACTACACTTACCACATAATCCAGGACACCAAGACCATAGTTGCCTCATTGAATGAGTTAAAAAAGCGAATCAAATCTTCCCCTTCATGGCCAAGCTTTTTCAAAGCCACTCCTAGAACCAGAGCGAAAAGTACCAATCCCAGAATGTTCATCCCTTCAATTTCTTTGCCAATAGGAACCTGGGGTGAAAAAATTAAACTGTGTTTCTCAGATGTCATATTGGGGTGTGGAGCGATAATGTCAACCATGTATTTTATTTTGTCATTTGATGAGTCAGAAATCAGTTTGTATCATGTCTCTTCAGGAAAGAACACAAACCCCATGGCTACTCAAGTACTCTCAAAGAGCAAGTATGAGCCACAGCTACTTACTCAGCTCTACTGCTGCTACTAAATAACATTAGTTTTTAAGGAGGTACTAAAAGTTATTCATATCTATTCTGCTTCTTTCGATAAATCACTAATATAAGACCATTTGTTTTCTATGGGTACCTCTTACAGATGGTTGCTTTTGTAGATTGTTCCTCACCTTTGAGAAATATTTCTACCAGGAAGAAAACACAAGAAAAGCCATTTGGTGTTCAGGGAAGGAAAAGTAGAAAACAGTGAAAAGGTGCTAATATGTCTTTCACCATGAACAGGGGCAGGCTGAGGCACAGCGGATGAAACACATGCTCCACTTTCCCAGAAATAATACAGCTAATTGGTGCGAGTTAGAGGATAAAACACTAACCTCAATTTTCATCTAAGAGTTCACAATGTGCTGACAAGCCCACCCTGCTGATCCTTTGCAGCTCCTTCTCCCAGAAAAGCTGAGGACTCATTTAATGAATTAACAAAATTGGTTCCAACTGACTGCTCTTGTGACGTAATAAAAATAGAATCATTTTGACAAACCCTGTTTTCCCTTTGGCAGTACATGCTTAATGTCTCAAATTTTTATTTTACTTGGATGAGCTTATGTAACAGATTAGATAGATGATTTAGAGAAGCTTCAGGCCTTGAGGATGTTGAAGTAGACGCTGGCTCAACACAAGAAAGATAAATATATTGTCAGATAAAAGTTTAAAATGTACAACGAACGCTGAACAAAAGTTCAGAACACCGATTTACTTCAATAAAACCATTATTGCATTATTGTCTAGAGAAAAGTGTAGGGCTGAACTGAGAGTTTCCAATTGCCTCTTTACCATTGGAAACAGAAATAAAGTGTTATCCAGAATTCATTAAAACATAAATTACATACAAGAAAATATAAGCAAGAAGCATGAACTGTTAAGAGTTCATGAATACACCAATTGAGCACCTGGGTTTTTCAAACTGAAAAATTAGTAGATTTAATCTCTCATCTTTCACTATCACTGTCCACTCTATTCTAACTTATTCCTAAGTATTGGACTTAAAACTTAAAGCATGGGGAATGTACCTGGGACAAAAATGTTGGGACGTAGTTTCTTTAATTTTGAAAGATACTATGAAAAGATTATATTATTCCCAAACACAACAACATATGGTGCTTTTCTGCATGTCCAAGGTTTAGTATCATCAATATTTTGCCCCCTTTAGTTCTGTAAGTTTCAAACACCTTAAGACCTAAAAGTTTCTCATGTTGAAAAGGTGACTGTAGAAAATCGGACTTTCTTACTAATTTGTTATCTGTCGGTGTATGAGACATCAGCAGGGGCAGATCCAGAGGGTATCATTGCACCGTCCTTTTAAACCACACTGTGGGAGCAGCAGCTGGGAACGCCAAGTCCCAGAAGCAAGTAAGAATCCCCCCCACCCCTTTCCCTCTATGCTCAGCAGCATGTTCCCTCCCCTCCCATTTGCTTCCCCTACTGACTGCTGCTGCTATCTCCAGATGGCTTTGGGATAAGAAAAGCTTCAGATCCACTCCTACCAGGCTGCACAGAGAGTCAGGCTCAGCCTAGAATTGTGGCACAATGGCAGCAGGTGGGTTCCTTCTCCTTTTGCAGTCCCCCCTGTTATTCTCTGCCAGCCTGGGAGCAGGCTCAGAGAAAGGGAACCTGCCTGCTACCACTTCTGCTGTCCCTGGCTGAGCTTGTACCGCCCAGCTGGAAGAGGGCAGCAGCAGCTCTGGAGCTCCCCCCACCCCAAGGCAGCTGGGGACAGAAGTGGTGGGCAGGGGAGGAGGAAAATGGGAGGGAAGAAGGTAAAGGAGTGCTGAGAGAGCAGCGGGGAAGATTCCTACCTGATTTGGGGACAAAGTCCCCAGCTCCTGCTCCCGTGGCATAGTTTTTCTGTCAAGGATGGGAGGTAAAGGTGGGAGCAGGGGTGAAGCGCCCCCTGCAGCACTGGTCACTGCTCTCATATACCCCTTTACAAAAATCCCAGATCCACACATGGACATTAAGGGGCTGTATGCTTTTCTATTTTTAATTTCTGTTGGTAATGCAGATCCAAAATTGCTCTGGGAGATTCTAGTCTGCCTTGCTGCACCAGCAGCTGAATTATTAAGAACTTTCCAATTATTTCCTGGAGAACCCATATTTTCTAGTGTTGATGCACAAATCAAAAAGAATCCAATTTGACTCATAAATCCTGGATTGAGTTTATCTGCAAGCAGTAAAAAAAGGGATTGTCAACACCATTGGTCAAAAATCTTCTACTGGAATTTGTTTACATAGGAAAATGCCATTTTTTTCAAAATCAAAATCAGTTCTAATGGTCAATTATTCTTGTAAACCAAGTATATTTGACCTGGGTATTATGAGAAGACAAACAAAATTCCATGGTGCTACCATATTTTTCAGTCATTTTCCAAAACTTTACGCCCATTCTGTTAGAGATTTCTTTATCATGTTGAATGTTTAAATCAAGTGACTTTTAGCTGGAGTCTAATGGGCCCCTCCGTTCCTGGCCAGTTCAAATTTAGACTCTCAATTCCTATTAGAGCCAGCCCTTCCAGTCAGTTCACTAAAATGCCTGTTGTACTCCAACAGCAGTGCATTGCTTCTAAGGAACTGCCAAACAGAGCAGCATTATAGGCATGAAACAAAACAAGAAAGGCTTTCATGAGAGCTTTGTTCCATGCTAAACTACAAAGCTTCTATCATGTTGTCTTAATTTATACATTTAGTTGAAGCCCTATTGACCTGCTCTGTTTCTCACATCTCTCTGAAGAGCCTGGTATTGTTTAGCACACTGAACACAATTTATCTCACCAAAAGGGTCTACAGACATTCAGGGCAGTTATGCATTTGCATAAAATTAAACATTAAGGAAAGTGGCAGGTGCACAATGTGATGTAGACAAGAAGTATTAAATTAAAAGTATTATTGGTATCATTTATACTTAAGACAGTGGTTCTCAATCTTTGTAGACTCAAGGCACTCCTCATCAGACTCAAGGCATCCTTTGGAAAATTCCAGCTCTCAGCTGTCACTCATTTCTTGACTCAGAAAAGTAAGAGAGCAACTCTTCTGTTGCAAAGACCTCAAAAAAACTACAACAGGTCAGAGTGTTTTTGACATACTGAATTCCTATTTTGAAATCTCTGGGTTTATCTTGTGAACCATGTGTAGGTATTTGCAAATCTACCACTTGGCCACGGCACCCTGGTTGAGAATCAATATTATAGGAGCATCCAGGGATATCAGTCATGGGCCCCATTATGTTAAGCAGTACTGGGAATGGAACAAGAAGCCAGTGCCAGCCCTAGAGAGTGGGCAATCAGACAGGACACAAGTGTAAGACAACAAAAAATGGGCTGGACATAAGAGCAGATGACAACAAAACAAACACAGCTTTGGAGAAACACAGATGTCTCAGCTCCTCGCAAGCACAATCAAGAAATAATACAGAGCCTGATCTGGTGCCCAACCCAATGAGGAGCTTTCCATTGAGTTCAGTGGACTTTGGAAAAGCCAAGAATGCAATTAACATCAGAGCATAAATGAGCAAAAGAAAAAACGTTTCATATTTTGATGACAAAGATTACTGTTTTCTGGTATGCAATGCATCACCTTCGTACTTTGTCCCCATGGAATCCATGTTGGTTATCACCTTGATACCACTCCTAAATGTTACCTGAAAACCACTTTATCTTTGTGCAACCTTAAAATTATTATGGTTACCATCCACACACACAACACAAAGAAACCACACCAAAATTCAGTTCCGCAAACTAACAGGCTACCATGTTTTGTTTAGTTAGATCACTCGTATCTAGAGAACTTGGAGTGCCCACTAGATTTAAAAAGTATCTATCCTACTATAGTTCAAACAATTGGACAAAAAAACCCCCCCATGAGCAGTGGGTGGAGGGGAAATCTTCAGAAGTAGTCATTGGCAATAACAACCAGATTTAAGTGTCAGACCAGGAATAATTCACAGTGTCCTAGAGTACGTGCTGTTCAGTCAAATAAGAGCTGTGGAAGGTATAAAAAGAAAACAAGGAAAATAGAAAAGAATTCCATACTTTCAGTTGCCAAAAGATACATTCAAATTTGCTAAGAAAGAATCAAAGCTCTGATAGTACACTGCAAAATGTCCTTTATGGCTGTCTCTGAATGTAACAGGCATGGTAAGCCATGCCTATGCAACTCAGTAGTGTTTTGACCTATGGTGGAACTTAGCCTGACAGTGAAAATTACCACTAATATCTTGCTTTGCTCCTCATTTGTATAGCTTAAGTTAGGAGTCATTCCACTGTTCATGTGAATAAAGGTACATGAATAAGTGTAGAGAGAAAGGGATGAATAAAGTCTTTAGTGGCGTGACTGTTTAGGGCTGAACTGCCTGCAGAGATAACATGTTAGAAGAGAAAGCAATCCTTTGAAATCACATTATCTTTGACCACTGACTGCCCACCTGCAGTGTGTCAAGTAAGGTGCTTCAGAGCTGAATTAATGCCATCCTATAGGAATGGTGAAAGTGTAGCACATTAGCCAAAACCAGTGGCGATGCGTATGGGGTGCACCATGTGCACCCTGAGAGCGCTTATGCACCCCCTGATGCTCACCGCTTAGACAATGGGCGGGGGGGCAGGCGAGAGCACCAGTGCCCCCCCTGCAAGCGCCAGTCAGGGAGTGGAGTGCTGTTGCGCTCCCGGAAGTGGCCGCAGTGATTGGCTGTCTTGCGATTGGTTACGGGGGACACCCTGCCCCCCACCCCGGTCACTAGGGGGGCATGTGCCCCCCCTGACAAAGGTGGCACCAGTCACCCATAGCCAAAACCCAAGGAGTCCTGCAGCGCATGGACTTGCTTTTACTGAGCCCATCACAGTGGAATTCTGACCCTGACTGCCACCTTAGAGCATTGCAGTAATTCCCATACACAACACACACCTTTTCCTCAAAATCAGCCCCCCAAAACTGGGGTATGTGTATTAAGTGGGGAAGCTGATTTTCTGGCTGGGGGCGGAAGCACCCTGGTTTGATTGCTGCTCCATGGTGCAGCAGCTGTGGTATTACTGTTCAGATGGCTGAGGGAGCCAAGTGTTCTTCACTCTACAGTTCTTAACAATGGTTTCTCCTTTTTATTGGTCTTGTTGTTCCACTAAACCAAGCCAGCCTTTCTTGGAGAAATCCTGCTGTCTGCTTGTTGCTGCTAGTCTTTCTAATTCATACCCACTTTAATTCTGTAGCTCAAACTCTTTAGCTCTTTAGCACAGACTCTTTAGCCTTTTTCAAAATCATAGATCCAATCTATGAACAGTGTAGACTGGTCTTCAGCAGCAGCTAAAGATCTGGCTTTAGTTATGCAGGAAAGGCAGGGTGAGCTAACTGAAGATTAGGCTTTGTCCCTGCTCTATGCAAACATGTCTCTCAAAAAATCTTTAATGTATTTTGCCTTTCAAAACCAGGTGTGCTTTCTATTTGGGGACATGCATGTATGAGACAATATGGTATCCATAATAATTTCAGCAATGCTTTAAGGGCCTCTAATACACATGAAGCAACACAGTCACTAAAAGGATGCAGCAGAGCTCCAGTATCTTATATTAATCTTAAAGTTTAAAATTAATAAATTTAAAAGGAATTCCCACACCAATCCCTGATATGCACCCTCCTCCTCAAATCCCACGGAAAGGCAGGGGCTTAACTGTTGAAAATAAGGCACTGTGTGCCAGGGGACACAGGCTCTCAGTTACATGGGACTTTGCCTATAGGGAGGGGATTTCAAACATGATTATTGGTCAGCAATAACCAGAGTTCAGCCAGTAATAAGCACTTTCGCAATTCCGACCCTCCAGGTGAGAATGGGAACACAGCTAGGTCCGTGTTAAGCATGTTTGGAAATCCCACAAGCTGTCTTGAAAACAAAGCTCCTCAGCACCTGCACACCAGATGGAGCTCTGGCAACTCACAGATGTGCTTCTGTTTCATTTTACTTGTAATATTTACCCCCGGAACTACATTTTAATAGCCTTAAACCAGACACTGGATCAAATATAAATGCAATGAAGTTGTAATAGGGAAAATTCTCAACCAACCTACTGCCTTAAAGGTTGCAGAGTAGGGAAAAAAGTAGGAAAAAAGCATTTTTCTCATATTATTAAAGAAACAAGTCTAAGAAACTATGGAGTGAGAAGAAACTGTCATAACTAAGCCATTCATTTAGGACTCATTGGTCTGCCACAGATTTCCTGAATACCATAAGGCAAGTCACTTTGCCTCTGTGTGCCTCAGTTCTTGATATATAAAATGGAGATAGCAGCAGTCCCCTTTTTCACAGAGGTGTTATGAGGATAAACACGTGAAAAACCATAGGATGCTTATGTATCTGGTTGCATGTGTTTCTGAGCAAGACAGGGGTTGCCTTACCTTTTCAATTGTAACATTTCCAGTGGTAGTGTTTCTGGATACCATCTTATAGTCTGTTGCATACTGTGAGTAAGAAAAACAACACAAAGTTTTCCGTCTGTAAAATAACCCACATGACCATATCCGTACTAGGATCTCATTTCACTATTGTAGGGTCTGTATGATTTCACAACACCTGAAAGGCTGAATCTAGGGTAGGCTATTTATCAGGTTTTTAAACAGGATTTCCATAAACATAAAGGTGGGAGGGGGTATAGAGAAGGGGGGCAACACGTATGTGAATCAGAAGCAACTGTATTCGCGTATAAATTGAGTTAATCCCAATTTATATTGGTGTAGTGGGGATGAAAATTGGGCCCCATTTAAGGCACACTGCCAACTTCACCTCATGTTTAAATGTTGTTTACAAAAGTAAGCAAACCAACCAAACCACAGACCAATGCAACTGTTTCCACTACAGAGACAGCTCTGCAGACTAGCTGAAAAGCCAGATGCAAGATGGATGGTAAGCACTTCTTATACATGTGCAGTAAGCAATGGTGTACAGAGTGTCTGGGAGCACAGGCCTCTACTCCACCCCTTTCAAGCTGACACTGTGCCTACAGGTGGACCCAAGAGCTGCCATCTCATCTTCACAGTAGGTTTCTTATAAAACACCTATTGCTTAAAACAAAATTATTTTAAATGAAGACCCAGGATGTAAATTTTCCAAGCCAATCTGTACTTGGGGACAGGGATGGAGCTTTGCTGGCGTTTCAGCCAGGTGTTATGACTGCAAATTGATTAGAATTATTTCAGAAATGTGCAGCAATGGCCTGGCTAGTTAAGATAAATGACACTGTCAGCAGAGATGCTCTAAGGCAGGGGTGGGCAAAATGCGGCCCGCGGGCTGGACGCAGCCCGCCAGGCCATTCTATCCAGCCCACAGGGCCCCTAAAAAATTTGGAAAATTAATATTTATCTGCCCCCAGCTGCTTGTCATGTGGCCCCCGATGGCTTCCCAAAACTCAGTAAGCGCCGCTCCACATCCTGTCCTTGCTCTAAGGGGCTGCAGTGCATCCTAGCACCAGCTCTGTGTACCTACATTCTATTTTAAGGGCTTACATGCACCCTAAGAGATGCCACCCAAAACCCAGAAATTTCAGCCTTTGAGATGATCTGTAAGCTGCCGAGAGACGTCAAAACTATGAATTAAAACACACAAGGCCACAAATTAATTTTGACGCCTAAATTAAACTCACTGTAGATGCAAGACTGTTAATTTTTATTTTGAATAGAAGGGAAAAATAATTTAAATCATTGTGAATTGTCAAGGACAGCACAAAGAGAAGTAAGATTTCTCTGCTGATGCCTTAAGCATAGAGTACTTAGGCATTTGAGTTAGGAGCTTCCCAAGTTACACTGTTGCTGTCATGTCCATTTTCATTTAATCCATTATACCAACTTGCCCTGTTTGATATTTTTATATGCGTCTTGCTTTTAAAGCAAAAAAGTCTCAATGGAATTAACAATGGTTATTTTTCAGCTCAGTTAACTAAAAGAATTGTTCTGTCTTAGGACAACTTCTTTAGTAATGTCCATCCTTTACATGCATCCAAAATTACATCTATCAATAGCTTTTCCAAAATTTACAGCTCATATCCATCTAATTTAATTCAGCCTATGCCATCTGGCGCTAATGTACTATCATATTTAGCTTTCACCACAGCATATCAGAAGTCAGACTGACTTGTGTCTAAGGCAAGTGATATAAGGAAAGGCATGACATTAAAGCCAACAACAAGTAAAACTCTTCTCTGCCCACACAGCCTTTAGGTCTTTAGCCTTGTCCATTCCAAGATTAATTCCACACTGTTAACTACAGGCCACACAAACAGCTGTTCATTACATGCATTTTAGCCACAATGTAGACCCTATATCCCCACAAGCTGGGATTTTCAAGAACACCTAAGGCAAGAAGACACCGAGTTTCCATTGATTCAGTAGTACAAACTAAATGCTTAGTTATCATCTTCCACACTTCTGAAAATTCCAGTCACTGCAATTGTTGGTTTTACATTTATTGTATGTGCTTATTTACAGTGATGCATCTCAAAGCTCATTATGAGAAACAAGGTAGCATTTGGCACTTTTGCTGAGTACATCTCATTTCTGAAAGTCACCTGAATCTTACCCAGTGGTGGCCTTAAGGCTGTTTGGGGCCCTGGGCAAGAGAGTCATTTGGGGTCCTTTAGAGGTATGTACTCAGTTATATTAACCCACCACAGCTGTATTGTGGATCTTTTTAATATTTGTTTGGGGGAAAGTAAATAAATAGTCAAGTGTTAAAATGCAAATAGAGCCACTTCCTTAAAAAACTTCACTCCCTCAAAAATTTGGGCCCCCTAAAGTGTGGGACCTGGGGTGGTCACCTGGTTTGCCCTCCCCTAAGGCCGCTGCTGTCTTACCGATCGAAAAGCTGCAGCAACAAGGTTTGATGGAAACAGGTTTCTGTAAAAGAACAAACAAACAAACAAAAAATATATAAGTTATAAAATGAGGGCAACTTGGAGAAAACAATATCAAAGGCAAAAATTTTGGCATTAAAGTGTAGCATGTTACAGTAGCTCCCACCACTCTTATGCCTACATGGCATAAGAGTTACTTTCTTCATTGTAGAATAACATGCAGCTGAATTTAAGTTAAATTAATACAAATCCTTTGAGGTAATTAGTTTTGTTATAGCAAGAACATCACAGAAATGTTTAATTGGCAAAATCCACCTTAGAGGTGTGCTGTTCCAGGAATCTGCTTCCCTAAAATCTCAGCATAAAACATGACAATGCTAAAGGCAGTTGCTGTCTGCAGCAATCAAACAGTTAAAAATCCTGGGTGTAAATAGATGCAACTCGTGACAACCTATACTACAGATTCAACAGCTTTAATACTGGGTGCACCTACACGAGACGCTTACTGCGCAGTAGCCTAATAACACTGCGTAGTAGTGTGCTGATAAACTTTGCTAATAACCTACTGCACAGTGTTATTAGGCTACTGAGCAGTAGATAAAGTTACTGTGCATTCAGCTAGTACTTCATTAAAGAAGTACTAAACGAGATGTGCAGTAACTACGGTGCAATAATGAAAATGTAGATGCACCCACTGTAGTGTAAACTGCATATCAGACTCTGAGTGCCAAAATTAGATTGTATATTACTCTTTCCAAACCTAAGTGCATGCATGTGAAACAAAGCAAGATAATAGGAAAAGCAGTTGGCTAAGAATGCAAGAATAAGCTACTCCCCTGTTACATTTTATACCTGCCCAAATTGTTTTTACAGTTACACTTCATTTCTGTTCTCTCAGCAGATAAATAACAACCTACAGAAGGTCAAGTCTGTGCAAGCTATCCAGTCTGAACCTGCTTTCTGATTACTTGCTTGACATCTTTCTTTCTGGCATGTTATATGGAAATCTGAATAGCCATTTGCATCAGATTTGTGGTCCATCTAGACCACTGTCCTGTCTCTGAGTGGCCAGCACCAGATGCTCGTTCTAGGGAAGAGTTTAAGTAACTTCCTAATTCCTAATGGTTAGAAACTGTCTTAAGCCCTGGAGCATTATGTTTAGCATCTTTCTCAATATGCACATGAGCAATTGTTATATGCAACATATTCTTATCTAGCTCCTCTTTGCATCAGGTGAAAACCTTAGCATTAACAACATACTGTGGCAGTGAGTTCCAAAGCTGTGTTGCAAAGTATTTTCTTTTATTGTTTGGCATTCACAAGCTTTTAATTTCACTAAGTGTTCCCCTGGATCCTCCGCATGCTGAATGAAACCTCAAAGTCTCCCTCCTCAGACTGTACACTATTTTATGTACTTATACCATGTCTTCTTTTACTCATTTCCTTTCCAAAACAAACAAGTCCAACCTTTTCATTGTCTCTTTGTGTAGGAAAATTTCTATTTTCATTGGTCTTTTCTGTGCCCTATCCAATTCTGTAATCTTTTTATTGGAGTGACTATACAAAATATTTCAGAGAATACTAGACTGCAGGTTTATTCAATAAAATCTGAATGCTTTCAGTATTATTCTCTATTCTGGTCTCCATGTCTCCTAATATCTTGCTAACTTTTTTGACCTAAGGTTAATAACTTTTGATGGTTGTTAGTTTCCATACTCAGTCATATCAGTTAAGCATCTGTGTACAATGAGGGTTTTTGTTAGACCTAAGCATAAAGCCAGAGTGAAAGCTAGGGCTTGTGTTATACAGGAGGTCAAATACAGAAGATCACAATGGCTTTAAAATAATTTGTGACTTTCTCTTCAACAAGAAGAGGGGTAAATTTACCAGATAAAACTTCAATGATCGTGTATTTTAAAATGGTGACACAGGATGTTTCTAGGACTCCTCTTCCTTAACAACTCTCTACACCCTGCCAACGTAAGAGGTTCAGCTGTAGGCTAAGGCCTGACATAGATATTATATTTCTACTGGTGTAAGTGACTGGAAACCAGTGTACACCTGTAACAGAACAGAAATTCAGCACGCAGACTACTTTAGAAATGGCGGAACCCAGCCAGAGGTATGGGGGAAGGAGGGGCTGCCATCATGAAAATCTCCCCCCCTTTCTCCCTCCCCTCCCCTGTCCATACTTTGGGACACCAGGACTTCCCACCTCTATTTGCAGATTCCCCCCCCCGCTGGCTATTTTCCTGGGCTTTTTGCAGTCTCCACATTTTTTGCAGGGATTGGGCTTTTTAACGGGAGACCTACCAAATTCACAGTTTCTGTGACAATTGAGAATTTGGTAGTTCCCTATCTATGATGCCAGCCACAAACAATAGGTGCTATTAGGTGGGGAGGGGGGTGAGAGCAGTGTGCATTGAGCAAACAGCAAGACAGGATGAAACCAACTGGGAGAACAAGTAAATGGTTGTCTCAAGTGTAACTTGTTCCACTTTCACTACAGAGTAAAGTCATCTTATTCCACAGTAAATGTGTTATGTGTCTGCACCCTCATTGTTAGTCTGATCTTCCACCTCTTTGCAGATGATCATTTTGAATAAAAAGTTTTAGAAATAAGTTTATACTCTGGTTCAATGTTATGAAGAACTGCTCACAACTGGCTTGATCCTAAGGGGAAGTTTCTGAGACAGCTACTACATAGGAAGAGCACACACCAACTGCTGCAGCTTCCTGAGCCTGACGAAGGGTTTTTGAACCCGAAAGCTTGCTTAATAACTATTCTCCAACCATTTGGGTTGGTCTAATAAAAGATATCAAATTCACCCAAGGAACCTTGTCTGCCTATATCCTTAGACCAACACGGCTACAACTTAAACCCCAGCTACTACATAGCACACTTAGCACTCTCAAGTTACTCCCATGGCATCAGGATCTCAGATGGAGAATGGCAGAGCTCATCTCTTAGGACAGGACCAGGAGTCAGAGCTTGTGGCAGTGTGATACAAATATTGCGAAAGGGTCTATTTCCAGCCAGGTCATTTAAAAACGTTGCTATTTCAATACATCAGTAATTGGCATGATATTTTACAATGTAGTTATGCTAACAAAAGCCCTTGTTGTGGATGCAAGTGTCATGGCAAAAAGTGCTGTATAGCTTATTGCACTTAATTAACTGCTATAAGCTCTGCATGCTTATAATATATCCATAATATAACAACATCTTATACATTTATAACTATAACTACATCTACACAAGAAGGGCCTGCCACTTCAGCTCAACCTGTCTGGCTGTACAGGGAAACTTTTAAGTATTGGGAAGCCAATTAAAGGCAGCTTATGCTATCTGCTCTGAAGACTGGTTTTATTTACAGAGTTCCCTTATCCGGCTGCAACACATGGACTTTCCCATAGCCTTGGTGATACTGTAAAGTACATAAACTTTCACAAAACAGCCAGGCTGTGTTAACTCTTTCAACTCTCTGTTGCTTTAGTAAGCAGTATTGGAAGTACAATGGGCATAGCAGGTCTTATCAAATGTCAGGAAAAGGGATGTTTTGTTCCTTAAAACTCAGACTGCACAACATAACTTCAATATGAGAAGAATGCATGAAGAACTCCTGCACAAAATGTAGCAAACACTTCAGGATCCAGCATGTTCCAATGGATAATGCTATCAGAAAATGTACAGGTTATCCCTTTGTGCTGACTGTGTGTTTCTATCACAGATCACATTCATCATGATCAGCGAAGCAAAACTAAGAGACCACGGAAAGCCAGACACAATTCTGTCATTATGAGTCAATGTCCACTGTGCCCCCAGTTGAGAATGGAAACTTCAAAACAAAAAAGCGCAGATATGGATCCTGTCTGTGTGTGTCAGCATAAATAGTAAGTGGAAAATATGTGAATGCATAATTGCATTTTACAAATCAAATGTAGGTATTGGACCATACTTTTCCTAAACCTATTTTTGCACACTTCAGATTTACATGGGTCTTTGTGAAATAAATTATCACACAGTTTGTCCATATAGTGCCTTACAAATGAGGTAACTATCATTCTCCCTCATTTCCAGATACAGAAATCAAGTTACAACAGAGACATGGAGTCCCCAAGGTCACCCAGCCAGCACGTGCCAGAACTAGGAGTCAAATCCAGGTCTTGAGAATACCTGTTCAGAACTCTACCAGTAGGTACTACCCACACTGCCTCCCTAGAACTATTTTTAGACAGAATTTCTACTTGTGATATAATCACAAGACAGGCACACTTTCAAAAATCCAATTAATTAATCTAGAACAAGCAAAGTCTGCTTAAGCACCTAAAAAAACAGTACTGCCTAACTTCACACAGCAAATCAGTGCCACACCATAGAATAATAAAACAAAGTAGTAGGGCTGAAACGGACCTCTAGAAGTCATCTAGTCCAACTTGTCGCCTAAGGTAGGATCACCCGTATCCAAACCATCCTATACAATCCATAATGTAAACTCTACATAAGACTACTGTCAACCCTGTAGATCTGGAAATAAAGTGCAGGTCTCACATATCTTAGTTCATTCTGGCTGCATCTACATATGCAATTAATGAAAGCAATAAACTCCGGAGCAGTTTGAGCTAAAGTAAACTACTCCCAGGTGCAGCATCTACATGTGCGCCCGGGACAGCAGCAATTTGAGCTGAGGTGGAGCAGGCTTGGGCAGGCAAGAGGCAAAGGGGCCAGCCCTGGGCTCTGGGTGGCAGCATTGCAGGGCGGAGGGGTTGGCTAGGCCATGAGGGTGCTGAAAGTGTAGACCTATGGGCCTAGGCAGCAGACAGGAGTCTGGTCCCCAGCAGGCTGGGATGACCAGGTGCAATATACGCCCGCAGTCAGTGTCTACATGTGCATTTAATCTCAGTAAATTATCCCAGCATAACATAGTACTGTCCTAGTACTATCTTCCTTTGGCGTAAATTAGTTTACAGTGGCCTAATACCAGCACATGTGTAGACAGTGATGCTTTACTCCTCAGCTAATTAGCCTACTCTGCAGTTAAG